AGCTCCAAACATCCTTAGCATAATTGCAGTTAAGGAAGATTGTATTCCCTCATGTTCCGGTCATGGAATAGATGAAATAAATCAAAAAATAGATTTTTGTTCAAAATGAAATCTTATTGGAACTGTTGTTTTGATCTTCTTCTGCCATGCCACACAAGGGACACTTACTATTTAAATCTTGAACAAATCTATCAAGGCGTTTTCTCATTTATTAACTTCCTTTAATTAACAACCAAGTAAACATCTTCACCTTTTGCGGAAAGTTAAGCTTTCACATTTTATTCAAAAGTTTATGCCTTGTATAACTTTAGTGATTTTCATTTTGTACTCAAGTAGCTAATTTAACTGTGAACTTTCTATTTGCAAATAAACCTCAAATGAACCTGTTTGAAGTGTCATGCAAATGAATGTATCCATTATAGTGATATCAAATTAAACAACTCAATAAGTTGATTTGTCATATCTAGATAGAATATCATATTAAAAAACATTAAATAACCATTTTACTTTTTTTTTAGTGGTGATATGCTCACCCACATGTCTTATCATTTGTAACTTTTAATATTGCAATGTCACTCAATACTATGGTCTGATTGTATTTCTTTTCACTTGTACATGAAAGGTCTTAGCTTAGGTTCAAATCTTGAGGTTAACAAATTCGATTAAATTAGGTTGTCTATTGTCTTCGCGTAGTCAAACTCCCCATCTTCGTCCTTAGTGTAAAATACATACGACAATAGTGAAATTAATTTTTGAAAAATGGAAAACCAAATGAAAGAATCGAAGGGCTGAGACTTTTTTTTGGAGTCCAACCCTTTTAGAGGGGTTTTGGGTTGTGATTTTTTGGAGTTTTAGATCAATTTCAAATGAGATGTCAAATTATAATTGATGACTAATGTGACAATCTAGAGTCTTATGTCAAATTTTGACCTCTCCAACCGAACTGTCAAATGTTATTTTATTATTTAAATAAATCTTTAAATGGCTATAATTATTTAAAATGTTCAAATTTTTTTTTATTGGTTGAAATGTTAGTGGAATAAGCGACCGACCATTAAAATGAATTAAAAATAAATTTGACATTGATGTCAAATTTGACTCCAAATCACTAAGCCCTTAGAACCAGTCAGCAAATAACAATTCGATTGGAAATAATTTTGATGTCAAATATGTATAGGAACATTCCACTTAGAATTTTAACATTTATTTTAAAGATGCTCTTAAACCATCTACAACCCTTGGGCTAAAAGCCAAACTTTTTAGCCCGGAAAATTTAGCTTTTAACCTAAAAACAGTTTTTTTGCTCCAATCCTTCTGGTCTAAAATTTTAGTCCGGGATTATTAAAGAATGAACTTAGGCTAATTTTTTTTCTTAAATTATTTTTTTTAATAAATATGTAGACTATCGTAAATTAATTTTATAAACATTTTAATATAAAAATATTTAAATTCCGATAAATATTGAAAAATCACTAAATTTTCCACAAAGTAAGCCTTCAACTTTCACCAAACTTTCAATTCACCAACCGTTCAACACCAAACTTTTAACTTTCACCAACCGTTCAACTTTCATCAATCATCCTCTATATAAACACATGTCCAATAGTAGTTGATCACACAACCTTTCAACCTTCAATCATCCTCTATATTCACTAATCTTTCAACTTTCAAAGAGTTTTTGTTTCCTAAAAATCTTCAATATCTCATCAATAAGTGATGGAAGAAGGCATAGCATGACAATGCAAATGGTACAATACCAAGCAAGGTTGAGATTGAGGATGCAAAATTGATCAACGCCGAAGCTGAACTTGTAAACTCGTTTATGCAATATGAGCACCATGATGAATCTAGCCATCATGATTCTGTCACGGGACGTTCATTTGTGCAGCGTGATAGAGAAGAGTGTTACCACTGAATGATGAAAGATTATTTCATCAAGCGTCCGAAATTTCTTGCTCATGATTTTCGAAGGTGGTTTTGGATGAGGAGAGAGCTTTTTGAAAGCATCTTAAACGCAGTTGTCAATCATGACCACTACTTTGCAAGGAAGATAGATGTCGTAGGCTGACAAAGTCTATCACCTCATCAGAAGCTTACATTTGCTTTTCGCATGCTAGCTAATAGGTACTCTGCAGACTCAACTAACGAGTATTGCCGACTTGCGAAGAGTACTGCTTTGAGAACCTAAAGCATTTCTGTCAGGCAATTTAAGCCATATATGGAGCCACATACATCTGTAAGCCAAATCGTGAAGACTTGAAGAGGCTTCTACACAAGGCAGACAAATGAGGCTTTCCTGGCATGATAGAAAGTCTCGATTGTATGCATTGCGAGTGGAAAAATTGTCCTACTGCTTGGGCTGGCCAATTCAAGGGTCGTTATAATAAGTCAACCATCGTGCTCGAGGCTGTGGCGTCTTACAACACATGCATTTGGCATGCTTTCTTCGACGATTTTGGATCAAACAATGATATCAACGTTCTTTAGTCTTCTCCTCTGTTCGATGATGTTGTCAATGGTAGACCGAAGACCTCCATTCAATCACGATGACGTGCATAATTTTGCACAACATGATGTGGACGATGAGTACATCAAAATTGAAGAAAATTTAGACGAAGATGTAGATGATAACCAACCAACACATGCGAGAGTTATTGCAAGAGATGTTGAATATCTCGCTCCAACCACATATGAGACCCGATAGGATAGGGTCACCTTGAGTGAGTATATGAGACGTTTAAATAGAATTCAAGCTCCTCAATGTCATGACACACTCCGCAAGGATTTGGTTGAGCATGTATGGCGCTAAGAAGGTGAACGTTGATGATGTTGGTTAAGCATTTATGTAATAATTTTAAGTGTACTATGTTGTTATTTTCTAGTAATAAATTTAAGTGTCTTCTTGTGCAAAGTATTTTATCTACTACGTTGGATAAATTATTGAATGGAGGTTAAATTATTGAAGGCATCTATTCTACATCAAAGTGTGGAATAATAAGTACAATAATTAATAAGATATAAATTTAATAAAGTACATAAACCACATAAACTTAATACAAACGATAATTCATAAACCACATAAACTTAATACAACCAATAATTCATAAACCACATAATTAATAAACTACATAAACTTAATACAAATGACAATTAATAAACTTAATTAATAAAGCACATAATTCATACACTACATAAACTTAATAATCATATCTACCATCTTCACTTGGTGATGGACTTCGTGATTGACTTGGGATACAGGGTTCAGAGGATTCATCATCTTGAAACATACTCCTTGAGGCAGACTTTCGCAAAATTTCCTTTTGCTTACCACTTAAGAACTTCTTCCTCTCTGGAGTGTATTTGTTGAGATCCTCTATCATGAAATTAATTTCAAACCTATCTTGCTCCCTATTCGAGATTTCCTTCATTTGTAAATGCATTTGGGCCGTTTCTTCTTGGTGAGCGCTATGAGTTTCGTTCAATTTTGCAATTCTGGTAGCAAAGTGTCCACTAATCGGATCTTGGGACTTCCCTTTTCTCTTTGCTTCATTTTGCTTATCCCTTCCCAGGGGCCTTGCAAAAGAAGGAGATGGGGTCATTTCATCGACACCTTCATCTCCGGCATTTGTCTGTGCGGCTTCACATTGAAATAATCTTCCCCATTGTTTGTCCGCATCGGTTCCTCACCTCGGACAATCCTTGAGGACGTCCCAAGCATGTTACAACTTAAAAACTTGATTTTTTGGTGTTACTCTTGTCTTGTAAATTTCCATTGCCTTGTCACCCTATGCAAAAAATACATAAAAATAATTAGTTGCAAACTAATATTATGTACATGATAAATAAAATATCAAGAACAAAACTCACAATTTTTGTGGCGTTCCTTCCACTAGCCATGCCAACCACGACTCACCACCATCGTCCCGCCCGCCGCCGTTGCAGTTTTGTTGAAACTTTGCAATGATTTTATCCCACAAAACTTTTTTATTTTGATTTGTGCCAACTGCACCATCTTCGCTAATAGAAACCCATGCCAAGCATAAAGCAACATCTTCATCACAGGTCCAATTACGACCTCTAATATGCTCTCTTGCCATGTTGAACAATTTGGAAATGGAAAGAAATGGTAGAAAGATAAATTGGAAGAATTGTAGGAGAAAATTGAGTTTTGTGTGGATGTTTGAACAAATAAATATATATTTTTTAATTATTTAGCCATTGGATTTAAATTTGGGCCGTTAGATTTTTTTTTTTACCGTTAGATTTGATTATATTCAATCACAGCCGTTAGATTCAATGTATTTTAAAATAACATTTAAAAAAAATGAATCTGGACCGTTGGATGCGCAAAAGAGCCGTTGGGTTCAAGGAAGTGGCCGACAGGGGCCTTGACAGTGGACCCCACGCTGTCAGGAAACAATTTCAAACCTACCGCGTGTGGTGCGTTGGCGTGTGGGCGGGTCGAGACTGGCCCAAGTTCCACCGAGTCGATGCGTATAGGGGGCATTTGGCTTGTAGCCCAATGTTTTAGCTTAGGTTGGGTGGTGTTTTTGGTGGGGGGGGGGGGACTAAATGGGGTAATTTGGCTTTTAGCCCGTGGTTGGAAAGAGTCTTAGGGGTCTTATGGAATTTTAGAACGGTCGGAAGGTCGTGCTGGTGAGCTGTATTGGGTTGGGTCACCTAATTACATTGTCATAGTAAGGATATTTTAGAGATAAAGTGGGTGAGAAAAGAGTAAGATTTTTCTCTTTTTTTTTTTAGAATTTTTTGTGGGTGGAAAAATAATAAATTGGAGTAGGTTTTTTGTGGGCAGACATAAAATCTCTATAAATCAATTAAACCCGAAAAAGTTTTTGTATTCATAAATCAACTAGTACACCCACTTATTTTGTTTGCTTTTGAAAATTTTTGTTTTTCAAACCGCAGCCAAACCGAGAGCGCCCAAAACGCACGAAGCTCACACCAATGTCACAAGGCGAGAGATTCAGACAGTCGCTGAGTGGGCGCTGCTAACACATTCGAAGTCCACTCACACTCCATCCCACCAGCCATGGATTCCAGAGACAAAGGCTCGCCTCCGCCGAAGCCCTCCAAGTTCTCAGTGTACCAGAACCCATCCTTCTCCGCTGCCCTCACCGCCAATAGCCTCCGCCCTTCCAAGCATGCAGTCCTCTGCATCTTCTCTCTCTCCTCCGCTACCGCCGTGGCCTTCATTGCGATGTTCTCCAGGTACCCAATTGCCGAATTTCAAAAACTAGGGTTTGAAGAGGGTTTAAGCCAAGATTTTTTTTTTGGTTTTTTTTCTTTTGTGTCTTTAGTTTGGGAACGTTGCTCTGTTGGATTGCTGATAAAAGGAAGAAAGAATGGGGATAGAATCTAAGAAACTGAATAATAGGAAGAAGAACAAAATAAAAACTTCAATTTTTGAATCTTGAGATTTGTTCTTTGGGTTTTGGGATTTTTAAGACCTAATGAGCAAACTATATGTGCATATCTTGTTCGAGTCTGTATTTATCTACCAAGAAGAAATTCAAGACTTTCATTGTTCGTATTATGTTTATGTTATATATCAAAGAAAGAATTTGAATAAGAAGAATGTGTTGGGCCATTGAAATTGGTTTCGGCTCTATATTACGTGTTGGCTAACGCAATAAACTGCCTTAAATTGTTGAAGGGAAAATGGATTTATTGACAATTTGAAGCTCAAAAGTCTTTCCCAAGAGGCAGCCTGTAAGTTGTTAAATTCGAGCCAGATACCTTTGATTGGTTTGAACTTGATGCTTTGATTGGTCTAGCTCGTTTTGAACATCTTGTTTTGGCTTTCAGATTTGTTTGTCAAAGTAATACATACCGTGGTGGGCTTAGTATTTTTGGGAACTCTATTTGCACTCTTCAGAGCCATCTCATTGAGAAATGCCGCTGTCGTGCCAACTAAATCTCCCTCAAAAGGAAATGGCGATAAAAAACCCCTTACAAATCGCCAATTAGGACTTTTGGGAATTAAGCCAAAGGTTGAACAAGTCGTATCTGAGTCTTCGAAGAAACCTCCCAAGTCCAAACCCCACATGTCTTCTCCTTCAGATGTGCTTGTTCCACTTCATCAGCCTATCACCAGTTCAAGTCGTGTGTCCCGACTTGGCATGGATAAGTCAAACACCAGTGGAGGAACTAAGATGGGATCTATCAGTAACACTTCTAAATCACCTGGTTCTTCATCTTCTTTGTATCTTGTGTCAGGGGGTGTTTCACCATTGTCTTCTGTCCAGAATTCACCCGGAGTGGATTCAGTCCTCTCCACCCCTTGGTCAAGCAAGCGAGCCTCTACAAGAGAGATAATGTCAGAAGAACAATTTGAACAGTTCTTGGCAGACGTGGATGAGAAAATCACGGAATCAGCAGGGAAACTGGCAACTCCACCACCCACCATTAGAGGCTTTGGTGTAACCAGTCCCAGTTCAGCTAATACATCTGGAACTACTAGGAGTACACCATTGAGGCCTGTCAGGATGTCTCCAGGTTCCCAGAAGTTCAGCACTCCCCCAAAGAAAGGAGAGGGTGAGCTTCCTCCACCTATGTCCATGGAAGAATCAATTAATGCATTTGAGCGTTTGGGAATATATCCTCAAATTGAGCAGTGGCGTGACAACCTCAGGCAGTGGTTTTCTTCGGTTTTGCTTAATCCCCTGCTTAACAAGATTGAAACCAGTCATATTCAGGTTTATATTCACCATTTCCACCTCCTGCGTTTTTTTTCCCTTCCTAGTCTTATATCGAGGAAAGTGTAATGTTTGGTGGTTGGTAAGAAAGTGTAATGTTTCAACTGCAGAAGCTGAAATCTGATGACAAGATGAATAGATGTTTTTGTATAATGTATATTCTGTCTGATACTAAATCTATATAAAATTCGTAAATTTATAGGTAATCCAAACAGCTGCCAAACTTGGGATGCCGATCACAGTTAGTCAAGTTGGAAGCGATTTGCCAACTACTAGAAGTGCTACTGTGTCTTCAATGGATGGGACTAAGGAATGGCAGCCAACATTAACTCTTGATGAAGATGGACTTCTGCATCAATTGCGAGCTCGTCTTGTCCAGGCTATTGATGCTTCCACCTGTAAGTTGTTCAACTTGTTCTTCAATTACGATCACATTTCATTTAAAATTTTCTTGAATGGTTGTGACAATGTTTTAATGTGATACTTCTCATCATATGCAGCCAAGCCTCAATTCAGTCTGCAACAAACCCCACCACAAAATGCATTGGTCCCTCTTATGCAGGAGTGTCTGGATGCTATCACTGAACACCAGAGGCTTCATGCATTAATGAAGGGAGAGTTGATTAAGGGTCTGCTACCACAGAGCAGTATTCGAGCAGAATATACAGTACAAAGGATTCGAGGTACTTAAATTAGTGATTTTCATTGTGCATCACCTTTATGTGGGCATCGGCGTAGGATGGCTAGGGGGAAATATTGGGAGTTTGTCAATTAGGGTTTGATTGTTTAAGAAAGTTCTGCTTCAAGCCTCAAACCAGTAGGTCTTTTGGATCACTCCGAGAGGTAGAAAGACCACACTTAGGGTTCACTAGAGTTAAAATGGTTGCATGCTCAAATCAGTCTTCATTCATGGGAGTAGTCTGAATATGTATCCAGATTGTTACAACCGTAATCAGTATTCTTGAATAAAACAAGTCTTGAGCACATGATTGTAATTTGCCAAACACAACTAAAAGATGCCCAACTGTTACAAAATGGACCCACAAAAAACCCTAAGTTACATGATATTGTAAACTATACTCAGGCTACACTACTGTCAACACTGTCTTGCAGTAACAAAAATCCCGGGTCAGACCTCTATCAGAACTATCCACGAAATCAGGCTTGAGATTGCCTAATCTGCCTTGTTCGTATTTCTAAAGTTTCAAGGGCTTATTCTTGTCTCCTAATTAATTATGTTAATTTGAGATATAGAGTTTATGGATATCATTTGCCTTTATAATATAAACTCAGTCTTTTCTGGGCGAGTTTCACAGAGCTTGCTGAAGGAACATGCTTGAAGAATTATGAATATCTTGGAAGTGGAGAGGTATACGATAAAAAGAACAAGAAGTGGACTCTTGAACTGCCAACTGATTCTCACTTGCTCTTGTATCTGTTCTGTGCTTTCCTGGAGCATCCAAAATGGATGCTGCATGTTGATCCTACATCCTATGCTGGTGCTCGTTCGAGCAAAAATCCCTTATTCTTGGGAATCCTACCTCCGAAAGAAAGGTTTCCTGAGAAGTACATAGCCGTTGTATCTGGTGTCCCTTCTGCTGTCCACCCAGGAGCTTGTGTACTCGCAGTTGGAAGGCAAAGTCCACCAGTTTTTGCCTTGTATTGGGATAAGAAATCACAACTTTCTCTTCAGGTAGGTACTTACTAGTATGTGCTCACTTAGTTAAACATCGTCAGTTGGGAGAAGGCATAAATGTAACGATCAATGCCACTTTCATACCAAATTGAGTTCTTCTAAGTTGCTGGTGTTTTACTAGTCATTCAGTCTGTTTATTGTGCCAGTGCTATTGAATTTGTTCCATCAATATACAAAGAATTTGGAAACAGCAGTTGTTTGATTATCATTTGAACTGACGAAGAGATACGATCTTTGTTTCAGGGAATGACAGCATTGTGGGATTCCATATTGCTTCTATGCCACAGGATTAAGGTTGAGTATGGGGGGATTGTTCGGGGCATGCATCTTAGTTCTTCAGCCCTAAGCATCCTCCCTGTTCTGGACTCAGAAATGGAAGACTGATGGACCCAAAACATTTCCTTGCAATTGCCTTCTATGCATTACCAAATGGACTCGTGAACATATCAACAACTCAAGGCATTTGTTTCAATGCTGAACTGCTGGAGAGGACTGTTTGGAGCTTGTTTAACGTTTTTTGATGTTGGATGATTCTGCAGACAATTGACTTGGATTATTTGGAGATTATTCTTTCAGCCGGCAGATGATTGACTTTGATACCTGAGATTCGGCATCTCCATAGTCACAAGTTGGATTCCGTTTTGATGAGATAGATGAGAAGAAATGAATTGGATTTGAGAAAATGAATAGGTTAGTTCAACAAGAAAAAGAAAAAAACTATTCAATATATTTTGTATGGATTTAAAGTATTAGAACAATGTCATATCTTATTTCCATTTCTTTTTCTCATAAAAATGTGTTTGAACTCAAGCAAATTGAAGGACTTGTACATAAGCTGCGTCAAATTTTTCTGGATCTAGTTATTTGCATTGTGTTGCTTATATAATCATATCACCGAAAGAAAATTACTTGGCTCCTCACCTTAAGGAGTCTTGACTGCTTACAGACAAATCACATGCGGGAAAATAAACGTTAAATCTAGCAGCAGTACTTCCACTGTGGTTATGATTTAAGACAGGTAAATTGTTGCACCTCCCTTGGTTTCAATCAAGTTATAGGGACCTACCACGAATGTCGTCAATTGTCCATTAGCGTGTTAGGTCATCTCTTAGTGAATTAAAATTGAATCCAAATCTCTTAGTGCTAGTTAAACTTTGCTTCATCAAAATCCAACGAGGAGAACTCCTCAGGTATCGTTCTGGCAAGGCCACAAGCCAATAAAGGTTTTCGCTTTGCAAGGGTCGGAAATGAACGTCTATCATTTTAGCAAGGAGTGAAAAAAAACCGTAGGACTCAGATTGAAGTCTTTGGAGCAGAGGAGAACAAGGAATCTAAAGAAAATTGATCTGCAAACCAAAAGGAATAGGGAAAAAAAAAATGGAATCACGAATTAAAATAGCTTTAATATGTTTGGTTCCAACATTTCTTAAACAGCCCGTCTAGCTCAGTTGGTAGAGCGCAAGGCTCTTAACCTTGTGGTCGTGGGTTCGAGCCCCACGGTGGGCGTTCTTTTTATTTTTTATTTTTTTATTATTTAGATAAAACGCACTTTTTGTCGTCTTCTTCTTCATTGCCTTCACACCCAAGGCACAGCCACCCAGCAAATCCACTCCCACATCTCACCTTCGACTTACTCTTCTGTCATGATTTCACCTCCGCTTAACTTCTCCTCTTCAACACTGTCTTCCGCTGCTACTTCTCTGGCGACTTCCCTCACTAAGCTTGCCTTCTACAAACACCTCTGGCAGTATCATTTTTACTTAAACAACGTAAACTTTCCCACATCCAAGCCCTCACTCACAAACTGGATTTTCATTTCCATGTCTATGTCGAAACTGCCCTGATTAATATCTATGCTTCTTATGGCTCTTTGGTGCTTGCTCTCAATGTGCAGAGGAATTCTGTTTATTCAAATGAGGTGAACTTGAATTGGTTCGGTCTCTGTTTGATCAAATGTCGGAGCCTACTGTCTGTTGTATCCTGGACTGCCATTATTGATGCATACTAGCGTATGAATCAGTGCTGGGAAGCTGTGGCTTTATTTAGGAGAAACTTTGTTGAAGATCTTATTGTACCCACTGGAATTACACTTCTGGCCATATTTCCGGCTGTTTCGGTTATTCGGGCTCTTAAGATTTGTCAATCACTTAATGCTTATGGTGAGAACAGAGGGTTTAATGCGTTTGACATAATTGTCGCGAATTTCCTTTTGGACTACTATACAAAATATGGCTGCAAAGAGTGTGCATTGAGATTTTTTTAGGAGATACCTGCCTAAAGGAAGAATTCTGGTGTCATGGATGTCCATAATCTATGGTTTTGCAACGCACCGAATGGAGAAAGAAGCTGTCGAGAATTTTGCAAGTGTGGAGAAGGTTGTTCTCAAACCTAATCGAGTGACATTTTTGAGTATTTTCAATGCTTGCAGCCATGGAGGATTAATTAATGGATAAGGGGCTGAAATTCTTTTGGAAGATGATCAATGAGTATGAAATGGCACTGGATATCAAGCACTACGGTTGTTTAATAGACATGCTAGGGAGGGCACGGAGATTAGAAGCAGCAGAAAAAAAATGGCTTTGAAGATTCCTGCAATATTGTTAATGTTGCGATTTGGAGGTCAGTCTGTGGTGCTTGTGCCTTTTAACATCTTTGCTGGTGTTAGAAGGTAAACTGATGCATCTGCATAAAAACCCTTTTACGCCATTTGTTAAATAAGTCTCACCGCCCTTAGATGTCTCGTTGTTCAATAACCGTCGGATAATTGTGTTGTACATGCAACCATTTGGAGAACAACCTTTCTCTTCCATTTGTCTAAGCAAGTTTTCTGCTTCACTTATTAGCTCCCCGTTACAAAATCCACTAATCATTATAGTATATGTCTTTACATCAGGTTGAATTCCTTTTGATGATGAACTGCGAAAGAGATCCCATGCATATCCAACTTTTTCAGCTTGCACAAACCTTCTACAAGAATACTATCTAGATCCAATTTCTTTCTCTCCATTTCTCTTAACAAATCCATTGTCATAGAGATTTGTTGGTTTTTACAAGGGTGGTGCTATTCACACACTCATTTTTACCTTTTACATACTTCTCTCACTTTTCAACCGTAGGATTGAATGAATTGAAGAAAATCAATGGATAAATTAACAAGAGTGTGTGAGAGATAAAAAAGGGTGTGTGGGAGGTAAAAAAAAGGAGTGTGTGAATAGCACTACCCTTTTACAAGGGCTGTCTAATAAAATTGATAAAATTACACAAAACTACCTGAATTATGGGTCGAACCACAATCTCATACCTCAACTTATGAATTCGTTGCGATGTTTGACCTTCGTTAAATTTTATGTCAATGTGGCTGTTAAATATGACGTGGCAGGAGTGGGGCCCACTCCTTTGCCAACTGGAATAAAAAATTAATTAACTAAATTAATTGAAACAGTTAATTAATTATTATTAAATTATTAAATTTTCATTTAAAATAATTAAGATTAATTAAAAAATCTCTCTCTCTCTCTCTCTCCTCCCTAGATTGCCGATCGTCTCTTCCCCTTATTCCCTCCTCCTCTATCACTCCCTCCTCTCTATACCATCTCATCCCAACCCCAATCCTACTCTAACTCACAGCCTCCTTCTTTTTCACCCCACTTCTCGACCCTAAACTCTGATCGCTGACGCCTAGCCTCGAAAAATTACTCGAGCTCAACGTTGATCCTTTGTCGCCCCTAGACCCAAAAAGGCTCTCCTGTGGCAACGGTCCCGATCTCGTCTTTATCCTATTCAATCCCATCGACGATGCCAAAATGAGAGACAATGAAGTTGCCGACTTCGCCGCCCCTGATGACGCATATGACTTTTTAGTAGTCGTGCTAGTCGAGCTTGCAACTCTGCCTACTGAATCTACTGCTATTGCTAGAACTAGTACTCGAGCCGGGTGAGTCGTCTTTGGATGTGGATTTGGAATTTTTATTTTGCAGGGGAGGAGGTGCGAGGGGAGTAGATGATCGGAAATCTAGGGAGAAGATAGAAAGAGAGATTTTTTTTTTTCAATTAATTTTAATTATTAAATATTAAATATAATAATTTATTTTTCATTCTAGTTAACAAATGAGTGGGTCCTGCTCCTGCCACGTCATCATTTAACAGTTTGACAGAAAATTTAGTAAAGGTTTGACATTGCAACGGATTCATAAGTTGAGGTTTGACATTACAATGTTTAAAACATGAGGTATGAAATTATGGTTTGACCCATAATTAAGGTAGTTTTGTGTAATTTATCCATAAAATATTATAAATATGAACATCTGGAAGTAGGCCACAACCTTGCATTTGAAAGAACAAGTTTTGTACATCTTGTGTTCTCCCTGTCCCACTAAACCCATCCATAAAAGTGCTATAAGTAACTGCATCTGGAACCACTCCCTTATGAGACATCTTCAGAAAACGCTTCCTGGCCTCATCCATCCTTTATGCTTATAATAGCCATTTATCAATATATTATAACTATAAGCATCAACCATGCAACCATTACAAAGCATTAGTTCTAAAACCTTGTTTGCCTTGTTCATCTCTCCTCGCAAGCAATAACCATCAATAAGAAAATTGTACGTAATTGTATTAGGTTCGATATCTCTTTGAATCAATATTTTTGAACACTCTTTGCTTTCCCGACCTGTCCCCTGTTTGCAAAGTGTATCAACCAAAACATTGAAGGTGCACACATTTGGAAAGATACCTTTACTCACCATTTATTTAACAATCTTGTAGCTCATTCCCACTCCCTTAATTTGCAAACTTTATAGAAAAGAGAATAAATTAGTTTCAAACTCGCTATTAACGAGATTTTTGCACGGGAATTGCTCAGTGCTCTCATAATACACTACCATGTATCATGGAATTCGGGGTAGTAAAGTGGAAGGATGGAGTGCAAATTGTGTAACAATAATTTTGACATTGTTTTTGTGAAACTCCAACTTTTCTTATATAAATACATAATGCGTAATGTGCTCGCTTGTCATAATTTTGAGTGTTGAACATATTACTCATGAATACTAACAAATTTATATTATTTATGTGAAATATGAACGCACTACATGTATTTTATATATTTTATTTAATGTATTAACATTTTTAGGATCTATCCGGACGTGACATAAGTTTGACATTCTTTAAATTGAGATCGATCAATATTCGTTTGCACACATAATCCACATCAAATGGATGGCGGAAAGAATCAAATTATTTACGTGATATATGAATGCACCAAGTATATTTTATATATTATTATTTAATGTATTCAAGATTTTAGGATCTATCTGGACGTGAAATAAGTTTGACATTCTTTATATTGAGAACGATCGATTGATTTGAGTGCTACAGACATTCCAATTGTGGGTTCCTTCACAATCCACATCAAATGAGTTGCAGGATAGAATAAAATTGTGGGTTCTTTCACAATCCACATCAAATGAGTTGTAGGATAGAATAAAATTGTGGCCTACTTTAAACTTTTTCCCAAAAAGGTTTACTCCATCAATGTGTGTTTCTTCTTTTTTGGCTAAATATCGGTGTTGTGAAGGGAAAATAAATGGTTTCCAAAACTCAAAGACCTAAAAGAGAAAGATTTAAACAATAAACAGGTTCACTGTTATGTGATATTTCGTTCCGTCGACGTATTGTTATATGATAATTTTTTTTTGGGTAAAGTACAAAAAACTATCTCAACTAGTAGTGTTACGACACTTTCATACCTTATCTTTTAAAATTGACAATGTCATACCTCATCTTTAGAATTTGTGTCAATGTTATACCTTCTGTTAGCTTGCCGTTTATGTGTTTTGGGGGGGCCGTCGGGGGGGGGGGGGTGGGGAGGGAGGACGTCAGCATTTAACTGAGAAATAAACGGCCAAACTAACGGAAGGTATAACATTGACACAAATTCTAAAGATGAGGTATGCCATTGTCAATTTTAAAAGATAAGGTATGAAAATGTCGTGACACCAATAATTGAGGTAGTTTTTTGTACTTTACCCTTTTTTTTCATATGAAAATGCATTATTAAATTGAGATGCTATATTGACGGTAAACATATTTACACAGAACCTCAAGAGAATAACATCAAACGGTCACACAGGACATCAAATGAGTTCACTGTTATGTGACGTTCGGTCCAACGATGCATTGTTACATGTTAATTCTTTTCTTCATATAAAAATGCATTATTAGATTGAGATGTTTTGTTGAGGGTAAACACATTTGCCATTCAGTACTACGGTCTGATTGTATTCCTTTTCACTTGGAAGTGAGAGGTCTTAAGTTCAAATCTCATGGATGCCGAATTTGATACCAAATTAGGTTGTCCATTGTGTGACTTAGCCAAACAACCTATCTCCTTAATATAAAAATATCGATGTACTACAAAAAAACACACATTTACTCAAAACCTGAAGAAAATGAAATCGAACGGTCACACACCTACCCATCTATCATTCCTCCATATTTTCCAATTATCATATTTTCCCCATTGAACGACAAGCCAAGCAACCATTTTTACACCGGACTAGAATTCTTTTCTCCCCTTTTTTCATCCCCTCCTCTCACATTCTCTTATTTTGTTTTTCTTTTACTATAAAAAATTAATATAAAATGTTAACATGTCTTAATCCTAACTGTTCAAATAGGAAGAAAAGAAAGAGGAAGAAAAAAGAGAGCAGAGAATCCTTTAACAGCGCGCGCGCCCCCCTTCCCCCCAAAAAAAAACCCTCCTCGCGGGGGCCCCCAACACTGCTTCTTCGGAAGCGCTTCAACCGCAAAAGCACTTTTCTTTGCCCACCTCAGCACCTCTGCCCCTCCTATATAACCACATTCCACAAATAAAATTTCCACAATTTGCATCCTTGCCCTCAAGGATTTTTTTCTTTTCAAATCCCTCCTCGCAACCCCCACCGCTTGCCCTGGGAAGAATTCAGTTCTCGCGATTGCATCATTTCTAGGGCTTTCGTTCCGGACGCCTCTCCTTCAGGTAATTGCCCATTTCACTACGAATATTCCGATGGCATCCTCCTTGATTCCAAATTAGGTGTTTAATCCCAAATTTTGCTTCTTTTTTTAGATGTGGAGGGTTTGAAATTTGTTTTTTCTTTTCAAATTGGGTTGATTTGTGATGGAGTGGAAAATATTGGGATTTTGAAATTTTGGATTTTCCGTCAATCACACCCATATTTTCGTTTGAAAAATAAATGGTGGAATTGGGGTTTTTTATTTGTTTATTTTAAACTATATCGTTGTCGTAGGTGCTTGATGTGATGATTGTGGTCTGAGAGTTCCACGCAAACATGTCCTTCTGTAACTTTCTGCTGTATTTGTTTAATGGGGTGTGCTGTATTCGTTAATTTTTTGTTTTGTGTTTGTTGTTAAATCTTTAATAATTTGATGTTAAATTATTGAAATTCTGTGTGTTTGTGTACGTAATTCAGGACAGGATCAACGTATGGTTGGTTGGGGAAGGTGTGGGTAACAGCCTGCATTGGAGTATATATAAACTGGAGTCATCGCCATGCCGGGTTTGAATCGTGATGGCTTCAATATCACGAGCTTTTTCTTTCATTTGGCAGAATGGCATCCACTTGAATAGCAGAGCTCAATCGGGCTTTTGACGCCCTCTCCTCTCCCTTTGTTAACTCAGGTTTGGATTCACTGCCACAAACCCAGATAGAAAAATTGTGATCAGTAATGTGGATTTTTGCTGCTTCAGAATTAGTATTTAGCTTAACATGAAGAATACTTCGGAATGTACTTATCTGAAAAGTAAAATGAACAAGAAATTCTAACAGAATGGTTTGCTTTTGCTGCTACTTGATATGGCTATGCAGAAACTACTTCATGATCAAACGAACCTTTCTTTCTGAATTTCTGTTTCGGTTTATTTGCATTTTGTGAAGGCTAATATGTTAAAGTTACTTCACATATATATGTGTATGTGTGTGCGCATGCGTTACATATACATGCAGTAGGGAAATTTATGATTTGTGAAATTATTTGATGTGATCTTGTGCAGGTTTCTGGAAACGTCTCGTTTTTTGGTGGGAGCTATAGTAACAACTACAAATATTGAGTTTCTCATGTTCCTTAAGAGTTCCTCTCTTGCAAGAATGATGGGTTGCTGCAATTGCTTTGGCTTCATCAGAATGCCCAAGCGGAAACCAAAGCCTAATTATGGATTTAATAATCACTGTTCCCAGGAGCGGTTGTTGGATGATGATATAGAAGATGATGATGATGGTTCATACAATGGTGAGGTTACAAGAACTACTCACGCTGATGAAAGCGAGCCACAAAGCTGCGTTAATCGTTCTGAGGAGATTCTACACATCAGAGAACTGAATGGAATGATTTGTAGGCCATGCCCTGTGAAGGAAACCCGAAAAGTCGTTCGCACTGAGGTAAATATTTTGTTTGGGGTAAGGTAACATAGTTTTACTTGAATTCAGTTCTCATACATTTTTGCATGAAATTTCAGGATGAAAATGGGAATAAGATGGTCAATGATTATGTTCGTGAGTGTAAGATTGGTGCTGGAAGCTATGGGAAAGTGGTAATTTTGTCACTGATAGGGTATTTTTTTTCCCGTTACTGCTTACTGGAAATGTTTCTTTACTCTTTTTGTATTGATGTGTGCAACAGGTTCTGTATCGAAGTCTTGTAGATGGACAGCATTATGCAATTAAGGTAGTTTTTCTTCGTATTAAATTACTGGCTTCAGTATTTTGGATGACAGAGATAACTATAGTTATGAGAAGTGTTTTTCCTGCTCCGAGGGAATTGCTGTGTAGTAGATGAAAACACTTTGGATTGATGATAACTTTGTAAAACTAATATATTTAGATAAAAGGTAAGGTAATATTTAGTATTTTCTTGGTATGTTTAAGGTAGAGATTTATTATAGAATTTAAAAGTGAGTTGAATTTTTACAGGCTTTCCATAAATCTCATTTATTAAAGCTCCGAGTTGCACCTTCAGAGACAGCTATGACGGATGTTCTTCGTGAGGTATGCATTTTCTGTCTTTTTGTGTGAGTTCATTTTGGGGGGGGGGGGGGGGGAACTGTTGAACAGTTGTCTTGTAGATTATGATGGTATTATCTCTTGCCAGTTGCTTTTGTTTCTTCTTGTTCAGTGTCATATCAGTTTATTCATGTGCATCTATTGGGTCTGTGGGTGTACAATGTATATTTTTGTTGTTGTAGTAGTTCCCAACCATGCTGCATATGCCACTCTACTAGAGTCTAGTGTGTGTCGTACTTTGTGGTAGGCAAGTCAGATTCAATCTATTGATGAATGCTCACTAGTATTGTTTTCCTTTACCATACAGGTTCTTATTATGAAAATGTTGCACCATCCTAACATAGTTAATCTCGTTGAGGTGATTGACGACCCAGAAATAGATCATTTCTACATGGGTACTTATTGCCTACTCTCTCTCTCTCTCTCTCTCTCTCTCCAGTCACTTTTAAACTTATTTGCTTGATCATGCAAGGGTGTATGCTGCTATCTCAAAAGGAAAAATGATTTCAGAATCTGGTCTCTTGCAAGATTATTTTGGAAACCCTAATGGTTTTTAGTTTATATATGTTTGAGTTCCTATGGAAACTCACCATATAAGTACAAAAAGATAAACAAAAATATGATCTTGCCAAAATTGAAGGGCACCACGGTCACATTTTAGTATCTCTCACCAACATTATCATTATTTTCTCGAACTTTGAAGTATCAATATTTATATAAAGTTGGGATTTTTGGACAATTTTGGGGAAATGTATAGAATAAGACACATCCTAAGTAAAAATTATCCGGAAAGAAAAAGTAAAAGATCAACAAAAATATGATCTTGCCAAAATTGAAGGGCACCACTGTCATGTTTTAGTTTTTTCTCACCAATATTATCAAATTTAAAGTATCAATATTTATATAAAGTTGGGATTTTTGGACAATTTTGTGGAGATGCATAGAATAAGACACATACTAAGTAAAAACTATCCGGAAAGAAAAAGTAAATATCTTGTGTTTGTGAGATTATCCTATTGCAACATAGTTCACTTTTTCACATTGGGATTACTTTTCATAAATATAGTACAATGCATTATCATCGTATGTTCTCATATGTAATTTAATACTTATCATGGGTCTTGTTTTATAGATCTCCACAAGTTTATTTTCAAAAAGCACAACTTTTATGACAAAATAAAATAAAACTGAAAAGGATTGGTTAGTGTTTTTCATTGTTAGACAATGACAATGGTGTTCTCGGTACTTATCCTATTTTTAATTGTTTGACAATGACAATGGTCCTCCCGGTAGATGATGGGCATAACTGAAAAGGAAAAGTAATCATACGTTCTGTAGAAAAAATGGTGAGGGGGCTATAGAATAATTAAAAAAGTAATTATGCTGAAGTGTTGAATATTTACCCATACCATTTGTTTAGCTCGTGCTTGACTGCTACTTTTCCTTCTTTTGTTTCAGTTCTTGAATATGTTGAAGGCAAATGGGTTTGTGATGGCTCTGGTCCACCAGGTGGAATAGGAGAACATACTGCAAGGAAGTACTTGCGGGACATAGTTTCGGGGCTAATGTACCTCCACGCTCATGTATGATCCTTAAACTTCGGTTTTGTATATATTCTTGGCTGAACCCTTCTCCCCCTCTCTCTAGTTATCTATTGTCTGCTTTTGACAGGGATACATTTTGTAACAGAAATCAGTTTAATCCTTGTATCAGTTTGGCCATATATATTTGTGGTGGCTAACACAGGGTATTGGATTTTATTTAATTCTTAATAATGGAACCATCTTTTTTAAGAGATAAAACCATCTTAATAGAGCTAGCACAAAATTCTTTATATTGCAAGTGTATGTGTGCTTACTAGCTTGCATTGATGATGGAAACAGCTGAAGCCACATAGAAAGGACATTACAGCTCATTTTCACACACGCACACGCACACACATACTATAAATGGGGATGTTAATTGAGTTCTCTGGGTCACAGAACATTGCCTTTTACTCTTTACATTAAGGCACTTGTTCTTTGTATATCTTGTTTGGGGCTGTCGCTTTCTGATAGTTTTCGTGCATTTTTCTATTTGATTGTTAAAACTGTTTAATGATTATTTTGAAATGCGCACATAACTAAGAATGATGTCCCATTTGTGCAAATGCATGACAACTATTTAGGTTATCCCAGAAAAAAAAGGGACTACCCATACAGCACTGTAGCTTTTTCCCCATATATGTGTTATATCTTCACCTTAGCGTACATTGATTGATTTTCTATTATTACTGTTGTGATTTTCTTGTGGTTCCTTTGACAACAGAATATAGTGCATGGTGATATCAAACCTGATAATCTGTTGGTTAGTCGCGATGGTATGGTGAAGATTGGGGATTTTAGTGTCAGCCAGGTTTTTGAGGTAATGGAACTGCTGAATGTTATAAAGTTTAGACACTCTAGGATTTTTCTTTTCTGCAATTTTGCTGAAGGAGACCATAAGAACGATCTTGTTGTATTATGGCCATTGACTTGATGTTATTGTTGTGGTGGATGTACAACCTTAACCTATGTTTGGGTGGGGGGGACTTTCATGGTGCGAAGGAACTCTAGAGTGAATTGGTAAAATTGCACTATAAGAAGACTACCAATGAACTATTCAAACACTACAAAACTACTACTAAAACACTAGGACTGTACTAAAAAAAAGACTTTCATAATGACACCTATGAAGGAGTTATTTGAAAGTTATCTCAAATGTATAGTCATTCTGAAGCCGTATCTAAGTTTTTAGTACATTCTTATGAATTTAGCGCAACACAGGGTTAGAGCAATAGATTGTTTTTCTGATTTTATATCTGTTTTGTTCTTTTTTACTTTTGTTTAAGCCATGTTGTTTGGCATAATAATAGTTCACAACAATTGAGGTGTTGTATTGGTTTCACCTGCAGGGTGACCATGACGAGCTGCGGCGATCACCGGGGACTCCTGTTTTTACTGCACCCGAATGTTGTTTAGGTTAGATTTTCTTGCTATAAGATAGGTCAAATTTGCTTCGCACGATATAAAAATGTGCTAGTAGTTCTTCCAGTGGCCTGCCCAAGGGCACATCCTCCTTGAAAAGTTTCTGGATTCAATCTATCTGGCATGAGTGTGCGGGCAATTAAAAAAAACGAGCATATTGTATATATATGTGTGTGTGTGTGTGTATTTGTGGTTTTAGAAGGCTAAATAATTATAAAATGTTGCTTATGCATAATTGCATATGCTGTAATTGATTTTCCAACTATACTTAAGTCAGTTGGCTATGAATTTTTCCAGCATCTCGAATCTAATAACTCAGGAAGATTGAAAATTTTATGGTTTTGTAACTGCTAAAGTTCATAGAAGGATGATAGAAAATCTTATGGTTTAGTAACTCAGGGAGATGATTACCGTACAGTTATTTTATTGTGATCAACAGGGCTAACCTATCGCGGTAGAGCTGCTGACACATGGGCCGTGGGGGTTACTTTGTACTGTATGGTATTGGGACAATACCCATTCCTTGGAGACACACTTCAGGATACATATGACAAGGTATGACAAACACCAGTATTCCTGTGCAAAACCACTAATTATGTCATAAACTTTAAGCCCGGTGTTTACAGTATTTCCCTATTACTTATCTGATAGGAATTTTCTCCTTGCAGATTGTTAATAACCCTTTAGTACTTCCAGATGATATGAACCCACTTTTAAAGGATTTACTTGAAGGTCTTCTTTGCAAAGGTTGGTGACATGCAATATTTTGATTTATGGCTGGTGCTTCAGCTTTTCTGCAACTCTGTCATCTTTATTCTTCCCCATCTTTTTTGTTACCCGCCCCCGCCCCGCTGTTGTATGTCTCATGATTATGGCTTGATATTCTATTATGCAGACCCAAACATGAGGTTGACACTGGAGGCAGTCGCAGAGCATACTTGGGTTATTGGAGATGATGGGCCGATACCTCAGTTTTCATGTTGGTGCAAGGGTAAGAGTTTGCGAGAGGAATCTAATGGGACGAAAGATGACTCTAGCATAACCCATACTGACTAGAGTGTCTAGGTTGGATTTGTTTTTGGCTTTCCAATTTTGGTTTTCGAGTTGCAAACATCGTTCTGGTTACTCTGGCTTTCGGACTTGTCATGATTTTGGCGAGAACCTTTTTCTCTGTTGTGTTTCTTCTCTGGGTTTGCTTTTTTTTCTGGTGTCGTGTTATTTGTTAGGCTCGGTTGGTATCACACAGGTCAACCGTTATTGAATGCATTTGTAGGAAATACTTTTGTTCAAAAGCGCTTTTGTTGATAGCAGTTTTCATAGAATTGATGCATCAGTTTCCTTTATTGCGAACCACGTAAAAGGGCTGTCTTGTCGAAAGCGTCCATAGATAGAATAAAGGTGCCACTGGCTTGTCGTAAAAGGGCTGGCTTGTCGAAAGCGTCCATGGTAGTTGGAAATGCTTTCATAATTCAAAGTATTCGAAGTTGAGAGAATCAAGCATTTGAAACTGCTTCTCGAAGAGCTGAAAGTGCTTTTTGACAATCAAAAGCTTAACTTTGGGGCAAACAGCAATCCAACCACATGGTTTTGTCAAAAATCCAAACCACATTGGTTAAGAACCGATCAAGTCCATCAGCTGAGTTCTGCCAGTGCGGTTTGATTTCGGTAGCGATGACTTGAATTTAGGTCCAAACTCGACGTGCTAGCATGTCCTTAACACCTATTTTTTTTTGAAGAAGATTACAATATTATCCTACCAAAATGGTGGTATACAATCTGAGTAGTTACCAAGATTGTGAGATATGCATGGATTGGATGGGACTTCAAAGTTGAAATCTCAACGGATGCTAGCATGGCTCATGCAATGGCATTTAGATCGTGCAACCAAAAATCATTTTGAATTTTTATTTAAAAGAAATCATTATGAATTTTTTATTTAAATTAAATATAAACAATACCTAAAGAAAACTGATCACACAATATACAATAAACGGATAAGATGTGAGAATATCTAAAATTCTCATAAAGAAAATGCGGAGAGACCGGATTCTCATCTCTTGGGATGGGACAACATGCAAGAGCAAAAGGGTTGTCGCCGCATTGGCACAACAGTGGTTGGGTTTTCCCTTGTATTAAAGTTAGCTCCATTTGAGCGTCGAACCTACGCATATCAATATACCTGACATCTTTACACGGATGATCTCTCATTTGGCCCTTTACTGGGTCGTATTTTGCTCTCATGCCACCGGCTGAAAAAATCTGGTTGCCTAAACGCCACAACCCATATGGATAGGAAGATCGGTGCCATGATGAATAACTCGTAAACTACCTTTGCAGGGCGACAAAGATAACACATCGCTCAATTGATAGAACGAATGACCCGTCAATTGTAAACAAGACTTTCTTTCCCATCTCACAAAGTTGAGAAGTTGAGGTTTCATCATAATTAGGTAGTAATACAGAGAGTAACTCAACGATTTATAAGTACATGGAATGTCCCTATTTTCTTTAATGTGGGTTTGATATTTTCTAAAGAAAGTTGACGTTCCACTGTAAAATTAATTGACAAATGGGGAGTAAGTCAATTATCTTATAAACCCTTGCAAGATTTTTCCTTTCACTGATGTGAGATTCTTTTACCTTCATCATCACACACCTCCTCGCGTGTAACGAATTTTCAAGCCAAACACGTGGACAACACGAGTAAGTTGACGTAGAGCACGTGGGCTTTCTACTGTGTTGGTGGTTTGGCTCTTAATTGGCTGGTTATGGATGTTGAGTGATGCTTCAAGTGATGTGTTTTTTGGTTTTTGCCTCAATATCTTGGGGTGTCTGGTAGCAAACCTCATTATGACTGGAGTTACTTGAGGTGTAGAATTTGGCTAACTTTCATTTTGGGGCTGCTGGATGTGGAGACGTTTCGCATTCCCGAGCCCTTCTTGAGTTCTCTCATTGGCTATAGGTTGATGCTTTGGGATGCTTTAGACGTCGGTTTATTGCATGTGGCTGCCACCCCCAGTAATTGGCTGAGTTTTGGTATTATGACCTATGGAGTAGGTTCTGAAATTTTCTTTTTATTATTTTTCCTTATTTTGTTGGTGTGCTTTGATGGTTGGTTTCCTCCTAAACGTCCCTATATATTCCAGACTCGATGGTGCCTCTATTTCCCATCAAATTACTTGCCTTCATTTCCCTCACTTACTAGTTCATTTAGAATATCTAACCCTCAACTGGCTGCCTTTTTCTCTAGCACTCCACCCAGGCTTAGAATCTGTTTTGAGAGCTATATACCTAATTGGGAGAATCATTTTCCTGTTCCTCAGCCTAAACAAGAACCAGTTGTTGTTGAAAGGGCTATGAGTAACTTTACCATGGAGTGTGGTGTGACTCGTGTTAACACCCATTTATGCTCGTCCATCAATGTGGAACATATGTTGTCTAGGGTTTTCATGGGGAAGATGTTCGGTTAGACCCTTGCCGCTCGTTTGATCTAGGGCTGCTTTGGAAAAATAAGGTGAAGAACACTTTCTATTTAGACTATTTCGGGAGGAAGTGGGAATTCTTGGATAAGGATAACTTGAAATTCGTTATGAGGAATCGACCATGGTATGTTCGTGGATAAATTTTCCACTTGGAACGGTGGACAACGAACTTTAAGGACACCGACGTCATTACCAAGCTAGTGATCTAGGCTCGTCTACCTCGAGTCCCTGTGCAATACAAAAAGGAGAAGATTATCAAGGATATCACATAGCCGTTAGGTCATGTGATCAGAATAGATGAGGTAATTTTGCGGTTAAACTGACATGTTTGTAAAAGTCCTTTAGAAGTCGACTTACGTTTCCCCTAAAGCGAGTCCTCATTGTCAACCATGAGGATGACTATCCAATCTTTATTAGTTATGAAAATATTTTTGAAGTCTGTTTTTATTGCGGGAGAAGAAGGCTTGAGGGGCATAAGCGAATGATGGATGTTTCATGATTGACAAGGTTTTTTATGATGAATTGTCTGTATATCCGAAGGACATGGTTATTGATAATGATGTTAAGGCGAGTTTAGAAAAGGATGTGATACGTTGCTTTCTAAATCCCACAATTGTCGAGGAGAAGTACACGGAAGTTGAGGAATTTGGCAGCATGTTAAGGATACGGGGCCTGATGAGGAGGGCTGGACTACGGTTATTCCAAGATGGAGGAGGAAAATGGATAAGAGGAAAATGGGTGACAGTTCCGAGGATGATAGGTCGTATAGAGAAGTGGTTGCTAGGCCTAAGCCAAAATGGGTAGCAAAGGCTGATATTGTGCAAAACTGGAAAAGAGTTGGAAAATCAAAGGAGATGGAGCATCAGGTAAGTGGGAATAAAGAGGTTTTTTGAGGCAATACAAATAATATTTCTCAAACTGCCACGAATTTTATAACTGATTGGAATTTGTCTGATTTACAAATGTTTGATGATTTGGTTGAGTTATTGTTTCCGTTTGAGTCTTACCATAATGATGACTTTAGGCTAAGTAAGGTAAATTTCTTTGATGTAATGTGTGTTTTGATAAAAAATCAGGATGTGATGATGTCAAACGTTGGAAGTGGTGAGTCTGAAGCTAAGAAAAGCTCGGGAAGCTTTGTTGAGGCCATGCTTGTGGCTGAGGCAGCTTCCGTGAGTGCTAGGCCAACTGTTGGATTGATGAATCCAAGAAAACAAGTTCGCGAGGAGGAAGATGCTGAAGTTGGTTCGTCCGCTTATCTTGAAGAACTTGACTAATGAACGGTATCATTTAGAATTGTAGGGGTTGGGGAAGACATGAGTTTACTAGTTATTTTAGTTTTCTTAATAGTTTGGTTAAGCTTGATGTCTTTTATGTTGTAAAAACTAAGTCTGTTGTGGACAAGGCCCCCGTTAGTTGCTTTAGAAGGTTTTTTGATCAATCTTTTGGTTTTAACCTTGAGGGGAGATCGGGAGGCATTTTTATTTGCTGGAATGCTAATGTTCTTAATCTAAATGTGATTGTTGCTTCTCCTAGGTATATTCATGCTCTAGTTAAAGATGTGCATGCAAATTTTGAGTACTACGCTACTGTTGTCTATGTCTATCCTCAAAAGTATTTCCAAGATAGTTTGTGGGAGGAATTCTCATCCTTAAGCCCCGACTATAAGCCCTGGATGTTGCTAGGAGACTTTAACAATATTACTTGCATTCAAGAAAAATGGGGAGGGATTCAAAGTGTTAATGCTAATTTGAATAAATTTGTGGATTTTCTGAACAATAAGGGGCTAATTTCGTTACAAGATTCGGGTGTTCCTTTCACTTGGAATAATAAACACAATGATGACTCGCTTATTTTTGAGATATTAGACAGGGTTGTTGCTAATTCTTATTGGTTTGAATTGCACTCAAGCTACGTGCTTCACAACTATCCTATTCTGGGGTCTAACCACAATTCTATGTTTCTTAACATCATTGTCTCTCCAGTTAATCGTAGGAGGAAGTGTTTCAAATTTGAGGTCAGGTGGAACCTTCACCCTGAGTTTAAACAATTTGTTAAGGGGGCTTGGAAATGTAGTGAGGGGATTTCCTCTCTTGATCATTTCAGGGGTTGTTTAGGTACTTTCGCTTTTCTTGTTAAACATTGGAATTGCACGGTGTTTGGTGTAGTCAGGGAGAAAAAAAGATAAAATTTTAATGGAGCTGGACGGTATCCATAAGGAACTTATGTCTTCTAACTATAATGTTAACTCTTCAAACAATTTTAGTGAGAAAGTTCACCTAGAGGTTCAAAGTAATGAAAGGCTAACTCAAGTCCTTAAGGAGGAGGAAGTGACGTGGACGCAAAAAGCAAAGTCTAATTAGTTAAAGCATGGTGATAAAATACAAGATTTTTCCAACTGTGTGCGACTATCAGGAGAAAGCGAAATGAAATTAATAAAATCAGATATGGCAATGGTATCTGGTGGTATAGGGGAAAGGGCTTGGAACAAGTTTTTGTGTAGGAATTAAAAATGGAATTCACCAATCGATCCAATCCCCCAACTGCTGAGCACTCGAGCTTAATCTCTCAGGTAATAAAACCATGCATTTCAAATGATCAGAATATCAAGTTAATTGAGGTTCCTTCAAATGATGAGATTTGGAATGCTGTTAAAAGCATTGGAGCTCTTAAAGCCCCAGGGCTGGATGGTATCCATGCGAGTTTCTTTCAGGAATGCTGGGAGAATGTAGGGCTATTAGTGTGCAATATGGTGCCCAACATGGTGAAATATTTTTTTTTTGTAAATAACTTAAGCCTAAAGTTAATCAACCATACAAATATTGCCCTAATCCCAAAAGTGGAGAATCCAAAAACAATCA